AGTATAAACGTTGAAAAAAATGCAATATTAAAAGTGATATTACTCATGTTCATATGAATTGATATACATGAGGTGGTAAAATATAGAACAAGAGGCATACATACATGACGAGTATAATCTAATTAACGCAGTGTTCTGCCGGGGAACGGATATTGAATAATAGATTATATGATCAATACATGAGTATATGAAGGTTACCAATAAGTTATATCCGATATGTACATCTATATTTTTGTATTTTTGTTATCTAGGCAAAACAGGACTCGCAATATGAAATGTCAACTGATGGTATTATGATAAAAGACAGACATTCAAATGTTGTATCTTTAAATATCATTTAAATGGTATGATAGCCAGAGCAGATTGAAAAATCCGCGAAAGATGATTCATTTATAGGATTTTTTGTTAGGAAAAGAATGGAAAAGTCGGAGGGAGGGTTCTAAGAAATACACCGATTTTTGTCGTATTACCTTCGCAATTTACGTACGATATGTCAAGATTTGAATCAATGTAGATGGGATGAATGATTATGATACTATTGTAAACGTTTACAGATATAAATGACTTTTATCTAAATTCTATATGATTGCGACCAATAATGCGGTTATTGTGAATCATGACAAATATTGAAAGATAAGTCATATCATATGAAAGTCCTGCTCGTAATTTCTCGGTTAATGAAAAAGGACCCTTGTTACGACCAGGACAAAGAATTATGAAGCTGTTAAGGTAATTTTGAGTTATTGAAATATTCTTGAGTAAATGCCCAAGTGTAACATTTTACAAAGAAAGCTTGTGCAAACATACACACGTATAATATTCATACTATTCGTTAAAAATGATAGTTACACGTATGTAAACACCCTATTAACATCTTGTAAAATATAATTTTATCTGAAAATCATATAAATCTTAGGAAATATATACTTTCCTTCCTCAAAAGCTGTTACCTTTAGTGTTATATTATTCCGAAAATTTGGGAAAAAAACCATATACAGAGCTGAAATTTTCTTTTAAAATTGTTTTAAACCCTGGTTAAATTAAAGTGATTTTTAATATTTTTAAAAGATGAAAAGATACGCCTATTACATGTATTGTAATGCTTCCAAAGAAGTTCCCAAAAACATCTGACAGAAAGGTACTGTAACAAAAGAAAAGTTCAGAGGGTTGGATTTGAAGATATCATTGAATGCGGTACGGTGTATCATAAGCAATAGCGACCATTACAATCTTTTTGATAGAAATAAGTCCATAAAAATTCAAAGCAACTAAACGAAGCAGGTGTCTTCTTATCAAATCATATACTATCATTTAGCATAATGCTTCTACGAAATAGGAATTTTTTAAAATTTATAAAATACTTTTACAATTTTAGATAGCGTTATTGTAAATGTTCGGAGCATGTTAGTTGATTTATTGAACAAATGAAAAAGTAATTTATTCCCGAAGAACAATCATCAATTATGCTCAAATATTCAGTCGGAAGAACAAGAACAGATCAATCGATATCGCCGTTTATTTGCCTCTTGTACAATGTAAACAGTTTATCCCGAAATATATTGGTAAACTAACAGAGATCATGAGAAAAATACACATGACCTTGAGGTATATATGGTCTTATGGTACAACGGGTTTATATGGGATTGTGCGTCTAATCAGTTTTACTGATGTCGTATAAAGATAGCATTGTAGGTTATAAGATCATCTTGTACGTTTTTGCGACGTATTACAACAGTAGCTGATAGTTTAGGCAACAAACAGTTACTGACTCATTTGGGCAAAGATTGTGGAAATGAGAAAGACTTCCGACAAAGTCGGAAACAGGCGACTAAATTGGTTACTGTAGAGGGCTTGTTTCAAATCTATTCAGTATTGTTGAGTCGGGTATGTGTTTAGAAATGTCTGCCTGGCGCCGTGTTCTTTGTCCTAAAGTCACATAGGCTCGCCAACCTGATATTGGAGGCATGCGTTTGTACTTTGCATTTCCTATCTATTGCAAATTTATAATGACAAATGGTAACTAAGCTTAAGAATGAAACAATATGCCCAGGCTTCGTAACCTCTTATTATTCAAACTCCTGTTTTGTTTTATCAGGTCTACCAATTGTTTTTCTTCTGTATGGCACAAGCCACACTGAAGGTTCTATCATAACTGCCGTATGAACACATCTGCTGATGTGAACGAAAATATAGATGAAACTCAAGCCGGTGAAAGGGAGTGTGGAAGATAGCTTGCATTAACCAAATCAACATTGTGAAGAAGGCTGTGCCCCTTTACCTTTAAACATATTTCTAATTACCACTAATAATGACAGATCGTTGACATAAACCCAAAATATAATTGAGCATTAAAAACATTATTGGACTTGCGCAGTGATCGGAAAGGCTGCACTGTTTGGATTTGCTACGTTACTGGATTTGCTTTGCCCATTGAACCTTCTGCGGTACGAGGACTTGACTCAATATTTGCCTTGACGGACTACTAAGGTATGTTGCACAACCTTGACTTGCTGCACTACATGAACATACTGCGTTACCTGAACTTGTTATAGTACTGGCCTGGCTTCACTATCGGGACTTGCTACACAACCTGGACTTGTTACACTTCTTACATGCCTCGCAACATGGGCCTTCTGTACTAACCTGAGTTACTGCACAACCTGAACTTGCTGCAGTAATTGATTAAATGCACTTCTTGGACTTGCTATGCAATCTGAGCTTGTTGTCCGACCGAAAATTGCTAACCTTGACTTACATCAGTCCTTAACTTGCTATGTAATAAGTGGACCTACTTTCACGATCTCACTACGATTTGCTTTGTAAAAAAATTACATAACAATTTAATTCTTAATAGTATCGTAAACATGTGATTCCTAACCAAATAAAATGCAAAAAGAACATCCATTTATAATAACATTAAAAAGTGTCTCTAAAGTGTAGTGAAATCTATATCCAAGTTATTGTAATGGCACCATTTGATTTAATATAAGTTCTGTTTGTGCTATATTTGCAGACATAGATTGGCTTATTAATATTCAAAGACGACTTTAGTGTAAGAAATTGTTTATATAATAGAACAGCAAGAAGAAATGAAGCACCACTGATATGAAGATAGTTCGGCGACATATATATATAAGGAAGAATTGACAACCTTAAAACACGAGTAATGGAACTTAATTATGATTAAGTTCCTCAATAAAAAGATCAATATGTTAAAAGAAGTAAAATTTACCCAGATATCTAATTTGTTTCAGATAAGACACATTTGAAGTTTTATTGCAATGTCTTTATTTATTTTTGTGTATTCTTAATTCTCATTTAAATGCAAAGTCCATGATCCCTCGAATACACATTATTTCACCATTTATTTCAGCTATTTTGTAATTTTATACAATTAAAGGATTTGTTTAATAATTATAGTTTTAGGTCACTTTGATTTTTTTTTAATTATAAGTTTAAATTTTACATTTCGTAATGCATTACCTTCATATCACAATGTTATTATTATTTGTACTATATTACATTACAAAGTAGTTTTAATCGCCTTTTCTACCACCATGGTTGTATTTCACTTGATAACAATCTATATTTCTAATTCCCTTTCATTATAAATCACATTTATTGTGAAAATCTTGAATTCTTAGTCCCCAGATCATACTCAGCTGAATAAATCATGAAAATTTCTTAACAGGTGACATATTTGTTGTATACGTTCAATCATTAAATTTGAGTGAATTCGTTGAAAATCCCATGAGTTAATGATTTATATTGTAATTATACATATTATGCAATTTTCAAATTAAAACTGATCATTAACTATTTCACTTTGACATAAAACTCTATTATAATGGCAAGTTCTTTTGGGAAGATGTATAAATCATGTATCAGTAGAAATGTTTCCATTGGACCCGGATGCCTAATAGAGCCAACTGGTTTGTAAGTCTACGGAATGACAGCATGACAGTGACATTTCATTTCAACAAATTTATTATCAGCAAACCTAGTATAATTTCCGAATGTAATTTTGTACAATAATCGATTTCAGCTGGAATAAAGTCAAACAAAATGAAAAAATAGTTCTGACATTATGACTTATGAATGAAAAAAAAATGGAATTCTCTCTCACACTTGCTACATGATCAACATTTTTTTGTGACAGATTATTTTCAGTTGTTGCAGTGTAACTAATTCATATTAAAAGTGATAATCATCAGTTGGTCATAATTTATCAAATATAGCTCATTATTTGCAGCAAGGGTATGTGGAATATTCAATTTCAGCTTGAGCGAGGTTTCCATTGCTATTTCATGTGTATGCAAGCAATGGGATAGTTGAATCGATAGCGTATACATCACTGACTTCGATGCCATAAAATATTTGTTATTCGGTGAGCTTTATGATATTGCTGAGTACTTGAACCATCCCGTATCTTATGACTACGAATACAACACCAGAAAAGAAGTATAGGGCGTGCACTGCAAACATCACAATACAATTGTTAAAAAAAATTATCAAAAGAAAAGAATATTGCAAAAACAATGCACAAGTTAATAGTTCCGATCTAAGGTTTTATATGCGGATGTTTCTAAAATTACATATTTAAATGTTGAATACAGCTCAAGTTGATGCTAGAGGGCGTGGACAAAAGCTTGAAGTTTCCAGTACAGTCCATGAATAGGCTCAATAAATCCAAGCCTGCAACATTTTCAATTTTGCCGTCTTGGACTCTCTTTAGGGATTCTATTTCTCTCTATTTTATGAAAGCAAAACTATCACAGGTGCTTCTTTTCAAACTGGCACTTGTCTGTCAAACACAGCATTTATTTTTAAAAAAAACTTCAAATAAACATAAACCATCAATAGCTACCAATCAAATGGTAGTAAATGCATTAATTGAAAATCGATCTTACTTTCAAAGACATAAATGACAAAATTGTCAAAAATTTAAATACGATCTGATTTGTTACTTTGAATCAAGAATAAATGTAATGGTCACTTACAGCATGTTTGAATATATAGCCAGAATAGTCCAACAGTATACAAGATCACAATTTTAACATCCATTCTCTACTGTTGCTAGATAATCTAATTCTGATCGCATTATACGAAGCTATAGTCATACACTTATTTCCATGAAATTTCCGATAAATACATTTCCAACGGGACTAGTACTAAAAGCATCAACAAGTACGCCACGTTCGGAATTGGTGCTCCTGTGTCATTTCTGAGTTATAATTGAAATAACCAATAAAATAGCACGACAGAAACAGATGACGCTTACAGAAATTCAAAATATATCGGTTAATTCAAATGTCTGGAAATATGTCATCTATCGCCTATATTGTTTATCTCAAACTACTAGAAACATATTTCAATATCACTCTTTATGGATGGAAATGAAGTGAATCAATCCAAATAAATATTATTCAAAGCAACGACTAGAAACGTATCTGAGGATTACGGTTATGTTTTGTGCTGGATAATGATTTGTACTTTTGATAAAAAATATTGAGAATAATAATGGTGACGCTTTACGAGCAGTTCACAAAAGCAGTTCCGGAACATGATTTTTTCAGAACTCTTTTAAATTATTTGTTTAAATACTTGTAAAAGGCAGAATCACAGAATTATATCTAAACACTATTAAAAACGACTTTCATGACAAAGAAAATATATATTTATTCATGCAAAGCAGCAGGGATGCAGCACATTTATGAAGTAAGAGACTTAAAAGGTATGAAATCCACTTCAATACCTTAGCAATCATGTTCAAATTTAATTTACAGACAGAATGTGAATACTTAACATCGTTTTACAACACATCAACATCTGCAGTTTTGATACTACCTATTAGAATGGAAGATTACAAATCTCCTTTGACCTACTGAGTTAAAATATATTATGCGCAAAGTGTCCATTAATTTTGACTACTATTAAAGATAATAAAGCGAAAATCCGTTTTTATATGAGTGGGTAAGATTTATCTACTTTCCAAACGTGTATGTTATGAGTATTTTATTTGCATGTTGGTAAAAATTCAAATTTAGTAAATTCAATATTTCAGATAAAAATGATTGACTTGCCATGTTTATTTAGGATATTTCAGAAATTATCCCATCGCCGTTGTGCCATACCGATGTTATTATGTTGACGTACCTACATTGTAGAACAATATGCATTATAGAGCAATACATTTCACACCTGCAGAGTTATAGGTAATCACTAATTGGAATCACATTATTCTATCATTAACTTGTCATACGTATTGTTTCAATGTGTGAACTCAGATATACAATATTTGAAACACTGTGAGTATTTAAAGTCTACATACAAGTTAAAAGCATTTAATAACAACATCAATCGAAGACTTGGAATATGTTCATTGTAATTTAAATATTATCAATCAACCCCCATGTACTGTTTTATCTATTCGCTGCTTTTCATTAAATAATAAATGAGAAATTTCATATTTACACACAATGTTCCAGTGATTCTTAACGTGAACAGCTACATGTTGAAATTGCAATATTTGTTTTCCTTTCAAAAATCATTTGAAACCTTCTCTGCATAGTAATTATTAATAATAATTAATGATACTCTTAGACAAACAAGTAAAAACAAAACACCTAAATATATTTATATGATATCCTCTGTAAAAATGTATCTGTCAATAACTCAGATTATTGTTTCATACTTGATTTTAATGAAAATATTCTTTTGATACATATTTTCTCAAAGAACCTCTCCCTTTCTGAACATGCAAAATGGCTTGACACCACGGATTTTCAACCTCAGTATTATTGTCTGACCAGATTGGAATTTTCCCTCAATGCCCTCAATCTTATATACAGTCACGTGGTATGCTCTGCAAAACTGATTTTTTCATATTTAATTACCACAGAAATCATTTTTGAAAAAAAAAATCAGTTCATATAGTTTATCTCTCACTCAAGAATAAAAGAAAGACCACTCCCTTTCACAATTTCTTAACACCACGGAGGAACAACCCCAGTATAATATTTTGAATAAATTGAATTAGTTCAATGTGTGTTCATCAATTGGATTTGAATCTTCCAAAAGAAAAATGAAGGGGATGGGTGGGAAACCAACAATTTAAACATCTAAAATGAATCCACCTGAAACTGTAATGTATAATATTGTTTAAAATATATATGGACATCAATCTAATAGATTTGAATCAATATGGATGGTGGAGATATTTCTGCAAGTGTATAGATATTTATAATGTTTGATGGTCTATATGATTGCTAGCAATAACGCAATTATGATGACTCATCAATAACGACAAATGATATATTGATAGATAGAAAAGATCAAGTGATAATAATAATCGTTGATTAATAGAATTGAAATCTTGTGATGATTAACATGTATATTGTTAATTGTGATATTTTTGAATATATTAACGATACAAAAATCCTCAAAAGTTTAATTTTCTAAAGAATTGTTTGCAACCCAAACACATGTAATTGATAGTTTTGTTTATCTCATTAATGGATCTTAGAAAGTCTTATTTTAGGTAAAAGCCTTATTTAACCCTAGATATGATATTATTTCTATTTCTCAAATGCTGTGATTATTTCCTAGATGTTTTGAAATAAATTAAAATCATTTCCAAAATACGAGTCAAAATAGATGTATTAATGTGGGCTTCGTCTTGCCAAACATTCACTAGCATTTAAAATGAAGCCTCTAGGAAAAGAAATTTAATTTTAGTTATACATTATAAATGTTACAATTTGAGTGATTATTTCATTGAAAAGATACATAGCTTTCTAGTTGATTTGTTTAAATAATCAAAAAAGTAATTTAGTCCGGCAGAAAAATCATTAATATTGCTCAAATATTTAGCCGGCAATGTGTCAATCGATACCCTTTGTTTACCTCTTGTAAAATATAAACAGTTCATCCTGAAATATATGTTGGGCAAACTGAGAAACAACATGTGATGAATATACATAACGTTAATGTATGTATGTCTTCTCGAACAAAGATGTCATACAGGATTGGTTGTCTAAAACATTTGGACTGATTTCATTCCAGTTAACTTTAGGTGTCACCCTGGTATGGAATTAGACCCAATCCATTGTAGAAAGTAGTTCATTTGAATTTTGAAGTGACCCATTTCAAATCATCCCTGGTAAGTTCGATTATGTGTCATATCTGAGTAGTTTAAACATTGTATTTGTGTACCTTTGCAGAATTTCTGGGTGGAAGGTTTCGGGAAGTTCTGTGCACAAGAATACACACCAGTTGTTATTTAAATTATTTTATAGTGATTACACAAATAAAATTAATGCTGCTGAAAAAAGTTATAGGGCTAACGATTTATCTTTATGTGTTAAATTTAGTTGGATAGTATTGTTCTTAAGTTCATCAAGTTCCTGTACCGGTAATGCTGTGTCCGGAATGTAGTCTTAGATGTGATGGATTTACTATATGATTTATAGGGCGAAAATTCAGTGGACCGTCTCCTAGAGGAAGGGAAATAAGATCACCGTTCATAGATTTTGTTATGAATTACATGATACCAACAGAAAGTTCAGAAAATTGACAGTTACTGAATAAGTTTAGCAAAGATTATGTAAATCAGGCCGATTTACCACAAATTTGTTAACGGCCGAGTTAACACTGATTATGGTAAAACAACGGAACATCCTAAGCTTCTAATTAATATTTGTAAAATGTGACAAAGACTTTAGCACAAGTTTTGCAAGGAATTATGACAGCAGGTACCAACTGTCTGATTGTAAGGCAGTTAGGATTGATGCAAACTCAAACTATGAAACCAAAAATCACCAAGGAAGGGCGGCATTCAATGAACGAATCTTAAGACATAACCCAGCAACACAGGACAACTGGCAAGGAAGCAAGCAGGACAGGCGAGAGCACAAGAGCAAAGCACGGGCAGGTATCATTACAAATAATTCAAAATAGAAAACCAAATAACATAAACCGACTGGTGAACAGATGGGTAGAATCCTTCATCGCAAACTTTTCTTTAAGAACTATGTGCTACTTTTTACATCTAATTGACCTTGTGTTTCCCTTATCTTTTGTACCTACGGGATACTTTAAAATACAATATCACGGTCATTTTAGACTTGTTTTCGTCACAATAAGACGTTTGCAAATAAGCATTATATATTAACGGAAGAGAACTGAAATATATCAACAGGAAATTACAGAAGCAATTATTTCTTTAGAATAGTTTACGTACATAGGATTTCTAACAAAATATACTGCAAAAAAGACATCCATTTTAATATTATGACAATCGTCTATACAACAAAAACTTTTGTTACATATATATATTCAATTAACTGATATTACATCTTTTGATTTCATAAAACTTCTATTTCTGATATATTTGCAGACATATATAATTGCTTATTTGATGTTTTCAAAGATAGTTGTATTGTTAAGAAACGATTATATAACTGAAAGCAAGGACAGAATAAAATAAAACATTATTGATAATTATATTAATAATGTAGATAATATGGAGACATACTTACAGGAGCTAATTGGATGAATATCAATGTATTTATTTACTTTAAAATACAAGTATATCGACGTACTTCTGACAAAGCTTTTCAATGGGACTTTTTGTAATGGTAAAAACACTAAATTCAACCTGTGTGTTAAGGTTTTTGAATGGAAATGTGACACTTTAAAAAATTGAATAGTACACTTCAAAGTCTTTTTACCACTAAATGTTTGATGTTTAATGGCAAAAATTTTGTCAATTCCGATATAAAAACGTAGTATATTGTCCGCCCAGTCCACATCATTGCTAAGTCAGTAAAGTACAAATGTTATTTCAACCATTTTGCGAATTTCACATGATCTTTTGTTTTAACAATTTTATGGCAATTGAAAATATTTATATTTTAAAACATGATCGTTTGTATATGATTTTTATGTTGTTAATTGTCACCATTATTACTTGGCAAGTAATATATAAGTATAACATTCAGACAAAACTTGCGGGGATTGCCTTCACTGGTTGGGGCATCAGTATTACAGCAACCGTTCAACAAGGGGCGACTAAATGGGTTCTAATTATTGGAGTCTATGCATCTCTTAGCAGTTGAGGCGGCTTTGATCTCTGATGTTGCTTAAATTTTATAACACCTGACGTTAGCCAAATCATCTTTCCTTTTTTTGGTGTCATATGTGACCGAAACTGTGTTGGTG